TTATGGAGCGTAAGATTGGAAGAACATATTTTTTCTATAGAAGTGCTAAAAAAATCTGGGATATGGTGAAGGAGATGTACTCAGATCATGAAACTCATCACAATTCTTTGAAATCAAGTCAGCCTTGAAAGATAGGAATCAAAGGGATAATTCTGTGACTGAGTACTACAACAACTTGACCAGCCTTTGGCAACAAACAGATTTGTTTTCTAATACAGACTGGCATCATGCAGAGGACAAAAAAAAAAATACAAGATAATGCTCGACAAAGAAAGGGTTTTTGATTTTCTCCATTGTCTAAATAAGGAGCCTGATGAGGTGAGAGGCAGAATACTTGGAACCAAACCTGTTCCAAGCATTAGGGAGACTTTTTCTGAAGTAAGAAGAGAAGAAAGTCAAGAAGAAGAGTCATGCTAGGAACCAAAGAACCCCTTGCAGTAAACACCTCTCAAAACTCAGCCCTTGTTTCCAAGAAAAATGATTATTCTGGACTTGAAGAACAACATGGTAACCATAGGAATGATAGGGCTTGGTGTGATCATTGTCAACGCACTTATCATACAAAAGAAACTTGCTGGAAAATTCATGGGAAACCAGCAAATTGGAAACCACGCAGGCAAGTAGAAAGAGGCAAGGGCTTTCAGGCTGATATGGAAGAAAACAAGGCTGAAGGTTCAGATTTTAGCAAGAAGCAACTTCAGCAACTCCAAACACTCCTCAACAATACCCAAACGGCTACACCTACTCCAAAGTGCACAATGGCACAGAAAGTTAATTACCTCTCTGCTTTAGGTGCAAAATCTGATTCTAAGAACTCTTGGATTATAGATTCTGGGGCATCCGTTCATATATGACGGGTTGCCATGAACTGTTTTCAACATATAATCCATGTCCTAGAAATCTTAAGATTTGTATTGCTGATGGATCACTATCCTCTGTTGCTAGAAAGAGAAACATTAAGGTTACTAATATGACACTATTTTCAGTCTTGCAAGTTCCTAATTTAGCATGTAACCTAGTGTCTATTAGTGACTTGAACTATGTGGCTAAATTTTATCCTTCATATTGTGAGTTTCAAGATTTACTCTTGAGGAGGATGATTGGCAATGCTAAGGAGCATGAAGGATTGTACTATCTTGAGGATACTCAACAAGTGAATAAACAAGCTTTGGCTCTAAGTGTTGAATCTGTTCCTATTTCTAATGAAATTATGTTATGGTATAATAGGTTAGGACATCCTAGTTTTCCATATCTAAAAACTATGTTCCCTTCTCTTTTTAAGAATAAAGATGTCCATTTCTTTGGTTGTGAAACTTGTCAACCTGCCAAACACACTCATGTTCCTTATCCAAGTCATCCATATAGATTTTCTAAACCTTTTTCTTTAGTTCACAATGATATATGTGGACATTCACAAGAAAATAACATAACTGGAACTAGGTGGTTCATAACCTTAATAGATGATTACACACGAGCTTGTTGGGTTTACTTGTTAAAAGACAAGTCTAATGCTAAGACAATTTTCAGCAATTCCACAAAATGGTCCAAACTCAATTTCAAGCTCAAATCCAAATTTTCCTCACGAACAATGGGAGGGAATATTTTAATTCAATTCTTGGTGATTATCTAACAAAAAATGGGATCTTTCAACAAAGCTCTTATGTTAATACCTCCCAACAAAATGGGGTTGTAGAATGTAAAAACCGTCATCTATTAGAAGTTGCTCATGCTATAATGTTTACCAATAACGTTGCTAAGTTTTTTTGGGGAGATGCTATTTTAACAGCCTCATACCTGACAAATAGACTTTTGAGTAAAGTTCTCAATTTCAAAACACCATTAAACATGTTACTTGAGTCATATCCACAAACTAGGTTGTTTACTTCTTTACCCCCCAAAAGTTTTTGGTTGCACATGTTTGGTTCACAACAAAAATCCATCCCACAGAAAACTAGAACCTAGAGCTATAAAATGTATATTTATTAGGTACTCTCCAACTCAAAAAGGGTATAAGTGCTACTGTCCATCCACAAAATAGACATTTGTAACATTAGATGTCACATTCTTTGAAAATCAACCCTTTTACGCAAAAACAACTCTTCAAATGGAGACAATAGGTGAAGATAGGCTTTGGGATTCTTTTGTTCCTCTTCCAATAACATCAACTATTCCTATTGTGTCACCAGTTGAAACTAAATTGGAAACAGGGAAAGATTCATCTATGCTTAGTCCTCAACAAAAAAACAGAGCTTCGTATTTATTCACAACGTAAACCATTACCTCAAGAAGTACAGACTTTTGTGCCCCAAGTGCATTGTCAAGAATCTGATCCACAAGTAAATCTTGAATCAAAAAATGTTGGGTCTACAGCACCATCACCAGTGAATACTCCAGCTGATGATCTAGACATACATATAGCACTCAAGAAACGTGTAAAATCATACACTCAATACCCGCTGTCCAATTATCTATCCTACAACTGTTTGTCTACAACATTTCATACCTTGGTAGAAAAGATTGAGGTAACTAAAATCCCACAAAATATTGAAAAAGCCCTAAAATTTCCAAAATGGAAAGTTGCAATACTTGAAGAGATGAGAGCAATGGAAATGAACAAGACTTGGGATGTTGCCGAGTTACCTAAAGGAAAAACACCAGTTGGATGTAAGTTGGTGTTTACTATTAAGTACAATTCAGATGGTGGAATAGAGAGACATAATGCCCACCTAGTTGCAAAGGGGTTTATTCAAACTTTTGGAGTAGACTGCACTGAAACCTTTGCTCCAGTTGCTAAATTGAACACTATATGGGTACTGCTTTCACTAGCTACTAATCTTGACTAGCCATTACACCAAATGGATTTCAAGAAAGCCTTTCTTAATGGGGAGCTAGTTGAAGAAGTTTATATGGATTTGCCTCCTGGGTTTGAAGGGGAAAACAATGACAGGATGGTATGCAAACTAAAGAAAAATCTCTATGGTTTAAAACAATCGCCAAAGGCTTGGTTTGATCGCTTTGCGAAGTCAATAAGGAGACATGGATTTAGTCAAGGACAAACTTATCACACTCTTTTTTTCAAACACTCAAAACATGGCAACAAGACTATTTTAATTGTTTATGTTGTTGATATTATACTAACAAGTGATGACATTGAAGAAATAGATAGGCTAAAGAAGACTCTTGGAAAAGAATTTGAACTTAAGGATCTTGGACAACTTAAATACTTTTTAGGGATGGAAGTTGCAAGTAGCAAGAAGGGCATTATTGTTTCCCAAAAGAAGTATACGGTTGATCTCTTGAAGGAAACTGATATACACCTTTAGATCCTAATGTGATGCTTGGAAAGAAAGGAGGAATTCCAATAGAAAGGGGAAGATATCAACGATTGGTTGGAAAGCTGATCTACTTGTCTCATACAAGACCTTATATTGCCTTTGCAATCAGTGTCGTAAGTCATTACATGCACTACCCATTTGAGGAGCATCTTGATGCTGTATGTTGAATCTTAAGGTATTTGAAGGCCACACCTAGTAAGGGTTTGTTGTTTGAGAAGAATGACCAAAGAAATGTGGAAGCATTTACAGGTGCAGACTGGGCAGGATCAATTGAAGACAGAAGATCCACCTCTGAGTATTGTACGAAGGTTTGGGATAATCTTGTCACATGGAAGAGCAAGAAACAGTCCGTTGTTGCTCGAAGTAGTGCAGAAGCATAATTTAGAGCTCTTGTACAAGAAATTTGTGAACTTATTTGACCAAAGAGACTCTTGAAAGAATTGAAAATGACAACTAAATATCCTATGAAACCATATTGTGATAACAAAGTTGCTTTAAGTATTGCTCATAACCCAATGCATCATGATTGAACAAAGCATGTAGAGGTTGATAGGCATTTTATCAAAGAGAAAATTGATATCGGAGTCATCCGTATGACCTATATCCCTACCAAGCAACAAGTAGTAGATATTCTAACAAAGGGACTACATAAACCAAGCTTTGAGACTCTTGTTGACAAGCTGAGAATGATAAATATCTATTCGCTAGCTTGAGGAGGAGTGTTGACAGATTATGCATCCAATCAGGATCAATTTCCTGATTTGTTGGGATTTATATTTCTGGTCTTTTATTTGTTCATATGTTTAGATGATTGTGTTGTGATTTTGTGGGCTTCTTTGTACATATTAATTCCTCTATATATTTGGAGCTTCTTTTTTAATAAAATAACACTCAGAGAACACTGTTTTTTGTCTCTGATTACAATATATATCACCGTATGCTTAGGGTGTCACCATGCCTGATCCTAAACTCATTAATGCAAGTTTGCAACCAAGTTCATAGCAAGGTTTTGTCTGATTCGCCGCCAACATAGTAGTAAACTTGTCAATTACTAACAAGAAAAAAACTACCGTATCTTTCAAACAAGCCAAAGAGCTACTAAAATAACTCAAAAAATTGTTCTTTTCTATTAAATATTAAACACATCCCCCCTCCTTCCTCGTCAACAAAGAAAAGGAAAAAGAGAGGAAAAGAAGACACACACAAGCACTAAAAAGAAATATTAGGAAGTTAATCCCTCCCAATGTAAATAATAACATTCAAAACACTGAAAGTTGCAGGATGAAATTAGATTAACATGACTAAGACATGAAATAACATGTTCACTTCCCAGCCCTGATCTTGCTACTTCTCAGCATATCTTTCCTAACAGATATTTTCTTTCCCAACAGATATTTTCTTTCCCAATCTTTACCATGCATACAATTTTCAGGGCTGAACTATTCTCATTTTCAAATGTAAATGTCTGTGCATACAACAAATATCACATAAAAAAAAGTATGTGATGCATTTTAATAAATTAGGCATCCGCTGCAATAACTTGAGATCTATGCATCATCGCACAAGCAAGAGTAAGCGTAAATGGAGACATGGAGACAGAAGAAAGAAATTGATGGAAAAGGCTGGAGAGCAAGGACATTGTACAACTAAAATCTCTACGCTTACCATGTCCATCAGGTGCAGTAAGAGCAATAGATCCTTTCCTGCCTTGCTTTGGATTTGACCGTGCAATGCTCAAGCTCTTTCCAAGCAACATTTGCTTATTCTTCGCTACAGCTGCAGCAAGGTGTTCATCATCCTCAAAATCCACATATGCCAGTCCCTTCAAAATCCAATAAAAGGTATCAAGCATCACAATGATAAATGGTGGTATGTTGATGTTGACCCAGGTTAGGGAATGGGGACATAGACCTTAGGTGCTTTTTTGTTAAATTTTTCCATTAACTCAAAATCATTAATGCTAGCACAAAATTCTTAGTTCTGAAATTTTTACATACTAAATTGTACCATAAAAATTGTTTGGAATACTATTTCAGATTGAATGCTCAGTTAATTTTCACTGAATGTATATTAAAAGAGATATGATATTATAAGAATTGTGCATTCATAAAACTTCGAATAGGAAAGAATATAAGATTAGTGGAAGATAAAAATTCATTTAATAAAATTGACTGAATACATTAAGTTTTAACTATAAATTTTCAACATTTTTTAAATATCATCCACCATGTGACTTCAGCAATGAATTAAACAAATCAAAAAATTAAATCATTAATTTTAATTTTCAATGAATTATCAAAACACCACCTCAGACATTTAACTGAAAATATTCATGGAGAATCTAGTCTATTCATCATCTTTCCCATAATAAACCACCTGACTTGATAATGCTGAATGCTTGATGCATCTCGGTGGGACAAATCAGCTGTGAATGCTAGAAGTAAACACAAAGAGTAGAAAATGACATTCTTTAGCAAAGAACACTGTCAAAACTCCATTCCTCCCATGGAAAATTATATCTACTTGAAGAGACAGCAAAAAAAAGGTTCATAAAGGACATTAAACGGTACAACACATAATCCAGTACTAATCAAGAAAGATCATGATATGGAAATTCCAGCCTGAGCACCAGACTGACATGTAGTAACTCATGCAGCCAGTTTCTCAGTTCTTTTGTAGCATCTGCAGTCACAAAGAACACAAAAATAACAAAGGGTGCATGTCCATGTGCATGCACACACACACATTCAGTGAAGAGGGAGAGAGAGAGAGAGAGAGAGAGAGAGACCCTTGATTGTCCAGTGAACTTGTTATACAGAATTCGAATTGAAGTGACCCCACCAACATCACTAAAGAATCGATGTAGATCTTCATCTTTTGCCTGTTATTCAAAAATATAAACTTGTCTATCAGATTGTCCAACAGCAAACAATATAAAGAAAGGCAAGTGTGTCCATTTATTTGACAGAGGGAAAAAAAATATGAGAGGCAGCAGGAAGGAACAGCGTCTACTTACCTTAAAGCTAAGATTTGATAAGAATGCAGTGCACTGATCAGTATATAATCTGGTTTTACTAGGATTAGTGTCTTTCATCAGCAGCTCATTTACTTGTTTCTCAACCTTGCCTTTTTGCTCTTTCCTGACATTTGCTTCAGCTAAGTTCTGCCTTTGTGTGTCCTTTTCCTCATGCAAATTTTTCGGACTTTGAGAAGTATTTTTCTGCCGCTTAGCTGGAGACTGTTCATCAATTGTGCTCAAACCTGATTTCCTCTTTTCACGCACTGTTTTCTTAAGGTTCTGCTCTCTTTGATAAGTTGCTTCACTGAAAGATTTAGATTCCTGCTGTAACCTAAACAATTGTAGCTCCTCAAGACGAGGAGTAACCTGAGAAATGGAATAGCAAACAAAAACAATTCTAACTTTGTCAAAGGCAGCCAGGGTTATTCATCAACCAGATGACATTTTGTTTTTATGTTTTACATACCAGACTACACTACACTTGTGAATATTCTCAGACAATAGTAAGTACCAAAGGATGTTGTCAATATTACTAAATGCCTTATTTACATTCATGAAAGATGGTTCCTTAAGGGCACTAGAAAGAATACTTTAATACCAACATAGATCTGGATTAACCATATGAAGATTCATAAGCATGAGTCACTTACAAACAGACAAAACTGTATTGAATAAAAACAAATATCAAAGAAACAGAAAGGGCAAATGGCATCCCATTAAAAGAGCAAAACAAAAGTACTGAAAACACAGAATCAAATCTAATAACTTTTTGCTAAATAAAACCAATAAAAATTTTAAAAAGAACCGTGTATCTTAGCTTAACAGGGAAAAGTATGTTTTCAAACTTTCCCCTGAAACTCAAGAAAGCAAATCAAATACTGTTGTCCAAGACTACAAGTAATTGAAAATTTCATTTATAATGGAAGAAAGATTTGAAGCATTTTAATACTAAACATAGCATAACAAAAATAGATGAAATCTATCATTCTTTTCACCTGACACCTAGTGACAAATCTCCCACCAACAGCCAAGAAGTAACAAATGCAATAAAAAAATTATATTCATGGAATCATCAGGAATAATAGATGTAGAAAGTTGCATAGTTTTGACATGGTAATGGACAAAAAAATCACCTAAAGCAGTGGCAGTGCAGTTGATGGTGAAAGCAGGTGACTTAGGATTTTCCATTTTTACTCCACAATAAGTTTTTTGTTTTAGAAATAAAATAAAACAAGACTACTTTACAAATTATAAAATACTAAGTTCTTTGTTGAGTAAACTATTTATTCTTTTTAACACTGCTTTGATGGTTAAATAACAAAGATTGCTAGCCAAAATATGAAATTTTTTACAATTTCCAGAATGAGTCTCCTTCTTTGTCATATTCATTTTTTTATTTGATTTCAACCCATCAACAAGGAAGTGCAATTCCCTGCTTTTACAAGAAAATATGTTAACAACCTGAAGCAAAACAATAATCAGAAAAACATAACAGAAAAAATAGTAAAATGTTGTACCTTTTCCACAGCATAGTTAAGGTCTTCAAGTGTTCCAAATTCCCTCTCAAAGCGCAACCAAGCCTGGCAAATGTCCTGAATGATTCTGTGTTTTAGAAAGGAATGTATCATCTAATTTACAGTACATTGATAGAGCAGCTGAAGAAAATTCTGGAGTACTAAGACCCAAAAGGACACCAACACAGATTACAATCCCAAAAGATACTTTTAATCTTATACACTAAAAGTAAACATTACCAAGTTATCATAGATGCTGTAGTAGACTATAGAATTATATGAATAGGACCAAGACAGCTTGTTGGCAAACAATTACATCAACTGAGGGGCTCAAAAATAAATTCCGGCTTCAAAAAGGCGGGAGCGATGAGACAAGTCAAATAGCAAAAAGTATGAACCATATCACAAAAATATTTAGAACCATGGCCTTCAGATGAATTGTAGCTCTATATCATAACATTTGAACCCATACACGCATACAGACACTTGCATGCACACACATGATAAATAAGTCTCATTTAGTACCATTTTTGTATCATACTATCAACTAAAGACAAAACAAATCAAGGTTTAAATTGAGAAAATTTCCCTTCCATATGATAGACAAGAAAAAAGAAAATGATATCCTCACACATTACATCGGATCCAATCTACGTTCTAGTTTCCATGAGCATCAACACGCTCTGTTATATGTTTTCGCTACGATGGGCTCCTAGGGTGCAATTTCATTATCACTTAAAGTTGGCAATGGAGCATAGAATAAAAGGTAAACAGAGGCAAATCTAGAGGGGGGGCTGGCTAGGGCCCTCCCCCCCCCCCCCCCCCGGTTGGCTCCTCAAAATCAATTTAGCACAAGTATGTTTTCATCCAAAAAAATGGTAAAATCATATTTTGCCCCCTCCAAAAATTAATAATTTGGCTCTTCCTTTAGGAACAATTGTAATGATATGGTAATTTCATGAGTTATTAAAATTTTTACTTGTAGCTGCAATAAATAATTTGATTTTCTTACCTTTTTCAATAAAAAATTTATCCTTTTTAATGTAATCATTATTATTTCATTGAATTTTTTAGTTCCTTAAAATGAAATTTTCTTTTCAATTAATTAAATAAGTATGCTGACATTAATTATTATGTCAAAATATTTCTTTTTATATAGGCAGAAAAAATACAATAAAAAAGCACATAAAATGACAAATTTAATTGTACATTATAATTTTTTTATTTTTACCAAACTTTTCATTTCTATAACTCAACCTTTTAATGTGTTACTTTTATTTTTTCAAAAACTTATTAGTTAGATTTTAATTGTTCTTTAAATATACAACAACTTTCTTTTAATCATGAAAAGAATTTATAGTTTTTTATTTAATTACATTATTATGTTAACATTAATTCTCTTTATTAGATTTTTTATCAATTCATCTTACTTTTATTTCGGCCCCTCCAAAGTAAAAAGCTTGGCTTCACCCCTAAAGGTAAATATAGTCCACTTTAGATTATGATTGAATTTGAGGCAATCATGCAAGAAGAAACTTCATTATTATTACTTTCATAAATGAAATTTCAGTATTAGCAATTTAGGGTTTCACTTTATAAATTCATATCATTTTATCTACGGGAGAAGTTTATAATTTTATACTTCTTGTACCTTAGTCTTCATTTTTATTTAGCATGTATCACTCTATAAGTTTCTAGGAGTTAGATATATTTTTTCTGGAATCCAAGTTGGTTACTCATTTAGTTGTAAATTTCCAATTAAAAATCCTAATCCTAGAGATTTAGGAGCAGTCTTAAGAGCCTTTATCTTTCATAATGCTTTTGATCAATGCAAATATGAGAATTTTGATGTATTAAGAATGGATGCCTGGATGCACTTTTTGCTCCTCCCTTTGCGCTCTCTTGCTACAATGTTCTGGTTACTGTTCAAAGCCTAAGCACAGGAATCAAAAAACTTGCTTTTTTCTAATTATCCCGCTGCACAAAACTTCCAGTTACCTTTCCCTTTTATTCTAGCAATTGGAGATTTAATATCTACTGAATAGAACCCTAATTGCTACCTAATCTTACCTCTAATTTCCTACCTTTAGCAATGAACCCTAGAATCCCTAATTTTCTAGCCTCAGGCCACAATAAAGCCTAAGTAGGCATTATTCCCAAAACATGTCCTCCATTACCATATGAATTGAACATCTTAACACCTTTTTTGGAAAAGTAAACAAGTTAAATTAATAAATAAGTTGGAAAAACAATACATGACCTAAATTTTAATACTATTCCCTTTTTTATGTTTCCTTACTTCTACCCTGTATTCAACAATATGAACAGAATAAGAGAGGAAAAGATAAAAGCAACAAAAAGTGTTGCTGCACACATGGCAAATACATACTCCACTCTGTGCCGCCTAAGACTTAATTTTGTTTTATTTTTAAGAAACCCACTAAACTGAAGCATGAGCAATCATTTGAACACAATCAAGTTATGTAATTTATGTTTTCAATAAACACGGAAAACATACCTCTGAACCTGTTCCACTAAATCTTTTGCTGTAGCATCTCTTATATATGGCCCTAACTTCATTTATATGACCTAATTCAATTTCCATTGCTATATAACCTTTCCATGCTTCCAACATTGAACCACTGCAAAGAGACGCGTGCATGAAATCCTTGAAGCATTACATAACCAAATAACTAAAGACTAATTTGTGCAAGTTTTGAATAGTCAAACCATGTTTTAAGCAAGCTCTCCCAAACACCACGAGCTGCAATTAAATCGTTGCCCAATTTCAGCTCTAAGCGGGCCCAATAAGCATACAAACGCAATAAACCATCATTGTTCTTCATGTGTGGTGACAAGTAATCTGCTGCTTGCTGAAAGAAAGACCACACAAAATGAAACTTATGTAGACAAAAGGTATTGGTAGCCCATATAGGGTGAAGACTATCAATGCCAGAGTGAATTTACATAAAATTACAATTTCTGTCAACAAGGCACAGTACTTATTTGATTGATAACCTTCAATCACTTTTGACCTTATCCATGATAGTCATTTTTAACACGAAGAAGAAAGAGTAACATACAAACCTGAAAACATTCCCTAATCAATGAATAGTTCAACACATCGTCTCCTTTAGCTAATGACATTCTACGCCTCAAGCCATCTACTCGGGTGAGGAACAAATCATGGTACTATAACAAATAAGACAAATTAACAAAAGTATCCAAAGCATGAAAACTAACAAATGAATTCAAAACATAATTAGATAAACAAAAATACATGCCTCCTCAAGGGTTGAAAATGTGCATTGCAGGGACTTCTCAAAGACCTGAAACAAATTTAAGAACAAATTCAATTAAATAGACTCAAATAGAATCATAAAGTAGTCAAAGCATTATACAAATTCCTTAATATAAACATGTAAAAGAAATTTCCTTTTCAAAACAATTCATGAAATTGTAATAAACACTTATTAAACTTCGCCTCCTTTTAAAAGCCTAACTGCCAAAATCAACAGCTCTAAAGCCACCATGACAAAGCAATGGCATTTAGTTCATTTGGATGTGGAAATAAGATCATATTACATGATGATGTGAACATAGAGAACAACATGCGCAGAAGGTGGCATGAAGGGATTTTGAAATTGAACTGTCGTTTTGTCAGGCCTGGATGAATTCTCTCCCCATTTGCACTTTCTTCTTTTGAGCTTGTGGTAAAACCCAAGGACAATGTTGACTAGCAGAAAAATAAATATACACATTTTTTCCCTGTTCAATTGCTTTTAAAAAACTATTTGGTGCTCCAAGCAAAATATTTGGGTATTATATACATAAGCTATATGCATCAAACAGAAAATCAAAGTTTATGCACATCAACCAATAAACAAAGTTTTCCTCCAATAATGACAGAAAATCAGAGTTTGAACAACCATTTGATATGTAGTTCAAGTAGAAAAAAGGAGGAAATAATCTCTGAAAATAACCGCAACATACAGCAGATATCTCTTTCTCAGAAGCATGGCCACTCTCCAAACATAACAAATATCGAACCCAAAGTTCTCCAACCCAAGGACAGTTTCTTGCTGCCCTGGAATAAACATCCTTCACAGCGTTTCCAGCCTAAAAGGAGAAAAGGAAGAGAAGAACAATTGCTAGTACGGTAAATCCAATTACAACAAGTAAAAAGCAAGAACTTTCATGGTTAACTGAATAATAGCAAGCAAAAGCCAGAACCTTCAAGGTTTTATCAAGATAGCGAGTATAATCAAGCCAGAGATCACTTGATACAGGAAAGTCAGTTATGGCGCGTTCATACAGAATTTGGACTCGGGCTGGATCACCAAAGGATTTTTCAAATTCTAGGTAGCTCTGCAGCAGATCATTCATTTAGTCAATTTAACCAGGCAGAATGATACTACAGCACAACACTACAATAACAGAAAGAGGAAAAACAAATATTTTAATTTCCTAAGAAATGGCAGACATTGCTTTAAAGTATACATGAAGAAACCAAATTTGATTTCAAAGTTATTATTTTATAAATGGATTTTCACACTAAAGAGATTTTAGGGGATGATCGCATACCATGTAATTTTGAAATCTTTCAGACTCAGATATATCCTCTCTGGTAATCTGTTCTTCAAGATGAGCCCGTGCATTGTACATCTTTTCTGCCTTTTGGTAAGCTGAAGCAACATGGGGCTCAATCCCATCCACATCGTCAGATTCAGCACAAAGAGCATTTCCTTGCTCCACCTCCCATGCCTTGTAGGCTAGAAGAGTAGACTTCAAGTTAGCAAAGGGAATAGACAAGCAACGATGGAATATACTTCGTATTCGCTGGACCTGTTTCTCTTTCACCTGAACAATAGATGGATGGATGGATAATAAGCAGTCGTATTTCAAAAACATGCACTTCAACAGAAAAATAAGCATAGAGAAAATAGCATCACATTAAGACCTGAATGTCGGATTGGTCAATAGTTAGTAAAATAGCTTGTTCAAATTGGGTGTATGCATCCCATATTTGAGAGCCTTGAGCAATGTGCAAAGCAGCAGCGGTAACAGCACGTTCAAACAGATTTCTTGCCTTTGAAATCCCATCAGCTGAACATTCTCGAACTTGTGGGTCATGTTCTTGCACATAATTTAGGTATTCAGACCAAAGGGGGATTGACAGATACTCAGAGATGCCTCTCTCGTAAAGCTTCTCGACTGCCTCGGAATCAGAATCATTCGAAAGAGAAGCTTCGTCTTTGGCCCATTCCACCCACATTGAGGGACTCAATGGAAACAAGGCATTCATATTTTCCCTTGCTTCTCGTAGCTTCTCTATTTCACCCCTTCTCCTCAACAGTTTTATGTACTGTGAAACCAAATCAAATCAAAGCCAATACCAGTAGTATTAACAGTAGGAAAATCTTTTTCGGTTCCTTTTATTGACGAGAACGAGGGATGGGACTGTTTACCTGGACATGAGCGTCGTAGTTGGAGGGATTGGTGGAGAGCTCAGACTCTAGGGTTAGAAGCTGCCCATTCTGCTCAGCTTCGTCTTCTGAATCGCTTGACTCCGAATCGCTACTGGATTTTCCGATGCTTTTAGGGTTTTCATCAACGTCGCTCTCGCCCATTTCAGTATCTTCTCTCTTGGAAATTGGTGATTTCTCAACCTGCTCCATTTTTTCTCTCTTCGTCTGTGTTTTTTTTTCCCTTTGCTGTTGCTAGTGTTGATTTAATACTGTTTACCCTTGCGGATAATTCCTTCAAATATTGTAGCTTTATTTTCAAGTTGCATTTGGTTTAACTTTATGTTTAATTTTTTTTTTATTATGTTTTAATTTGTTGGTTGATTGTTTTGTTTAAGTATTTAATATTTTTTATATATAAATATAATTTTTAATAAATAAATATTTTATTTTGATTAAGGATAAAATAATTATTTTATGATGTTGAAAAAAGTATGATGGAAATATCATACAAATGTCAAATTATCAATTCTTTATGAAATGTTTAATGCATAGAATTATAGATAAAATAAATTATTATCTTTTAATTTTATGTTTAACACACATATAAGAAAGATGATTGAATTGCAAAGAGAATTAATTAAATTTTAAGTATAAGATGATTCAGTCTCCTTAAAAGATATGAATTATTTATAATTTTATAAAATTAGATAATAAATATTTATAAATCACTTATTTTACTTTTAAAACTTATCTTTAAAATTTAATTTAAATATTTAATAAAATGAAAAGTGACATTCTTTAATAGGATAACCCAAATTTTTTTTTATTCTTTTTTCTCTATTTTATTTTTTTCTTTTTCCTCTTTCTGCTTTTTTTTCCCATTCTCTTTCCTTATTTTCTCTTTTTTTTCATATTTTATTTTTTTCAAATATTTAAAAAAATAGTTTTGATAAAACTATTATTTTATTTTTGAAAAAGTAATTTATTTTTTAAAATAATAATTTTTTTAATTATTTTTTTGAAAACTAAATTTAACTCTTAACCATAAAAAAAATACTAAATTAAATATTTTTAATTAATAAATTTTATATTATTACATTTAAATAGTATCTTCATTCTTCTTCTTTTTTTCTTTTTTCATTTTTATTTTTTATCTTTTATCTTTTTTTAATAAATAAAAAACATAGTTTTTGATAAAAACTTTTTTTTGAAAAATTAATTTACTATTTTGGAAATAATCAGTTTTTTAATTATTTTTAAAAAACTAAATTTAACTCTTTAACATACAAATATTTTAAATTAAATATTTTTTAATCAAAATGTTTTGAATTATTAAATTTAAATAGTATCTTTTTTCTTTTAATTCTTCTTTTTCATTATTATTTTTTTGTCACTATTCTCTCTCTTTTCTATTTTTTTATTTTATTTATTCTTTTTCCCTCTTTCGGAGATGGAGAATAAAAGAAAATGAAATAAAAAAAAATTAAGATAAGATAGATGAAATTACATTTTTTATATATTTCAAGAAACTCAGCTATTTTTTTGGAAAATAATGAAAAAAAATTTTGAAAAAAATAAATTTAACTCTTATCTAGAGAAATTATCATAGAAAATCTATTTTTTAGTTAAAAATTTTTTAATTGCATATTTATAAAAAATTATAAATTTAAATTATTTTTATTTGAAGAGAAATTTTGATTAATAAAAAATTATTTTATCATACTTTTAATCTTACATGTTACAAACATTGTGAAAAATAAAAATTATCCTATTATATTTTTAATTCTTACACATATCAAATATAAAATAAGATAATATCATATAATTTAATTCTATCTATAATCTTATATTATCTTATTTTAATCTTATACAATAAAACACATGCTTAGGGGATAGTTTACATAGGATATAGATTTGGACTTGAAGATTTGGACAAAATATTAATTCCTTTACATGGATTTGAAAAAATCCAACACAATATTACCCACTAAACCCAATAATTTATTAAATTTTTAATCAACTAGTAGTTATTTGACAAAAAAAAAGTAATTGAGAGTTGTCCCCAATTGGAGATAACTTTAGTGAGGACAATTTTTTTTGTATGTTATTGAGTAATCTAAGTATAGAAAATGTATTAGTACTCTCATAATAACCGTTCAAAAATAATACTAATTAATTTTATATTATCTTAAAAAGACCTATCTAAATGCTATTTTAATCTTAATTAAATTTCATTATTTGAAATATTGAAAAGTTTTTATGTTTTTTTCCAATATTTTGATTGAGTTTTGAAAAAATTCTTTCACTTTAAAAATAGTCAAGAAACCCATATTCCTCAAAAAGGTTATGTGTTGAATTAATTTAAAATTTTATAAAAAATTTTATTTTATTTTATTTTTATTTTTATTTTACTAACCTTTATTTTTTTTACTAAATATTTTATTAAAAAGTAAATAAAATATTTTTATTGGAATACTTTCAAAATCTTTTTAACACTTTTTGTACTATTTTAAGAAAATTCCTTACATAAGAATTTCTAGCACCACTTGTAATTTTCTTTTAATTTCATAATTGGAAAAATGTTTATTTATTTCAAATATTTTTTAAAATTTATGTGATACAAATAAATAAATAAAATTATAAAAAAATTATAAATTTATTTGTATAACACATATTTTTAGTTCTTCATGTTAGTCAATTGATCAAAACACATTCCTAATCTAAAATTTTAATATGTGTATAAAAAATAAACAAATATATAAGTAAATTAATAAATAAAAAATAACTAAAACTAAAAAGAAAAAACAAAATTAAAAAAAAATACCAAAATAAAAGACAAAAAAGATTGATTGCCATCTGTCTAAAAGAAAAATAAAACCCAAAAGTTTCCCACAATCACCTCAACAATTTATTTCATGTCTTATTTAATCATCTAATCATTTTTATATCACATATTAGGTGTCATTAAAATTCAGAAATGAGGATGACTTTAATAGATTTAATAGATTAGCGTTAATTCTTACTATCCTCGTTATTGCCTTCATAAAATCATGAAAAAATATTTAAAATTTAATAACTAATTATATCATGTTATGAAACACCAATTGTATTTTAGACTTTTAAAATGCAAATTAATTTATTAAAATGTTTGTATTAGATTTTTCTTAATATTTAAAATGATTATAAAGTATAAAATGTTAGAAAATATTTTCAAAATATAAAATATATGATTAAGTTAATAACTTAATGGAAGAGAAATTAAATTAAGTTATAAGATGGCTTAAGGTAAAGTCCTAAAGGTTAAAGATATGATTATATACTTAAAGGAATAATATAATTAAGAACATTACACAAAATAGCAGTTGATTGTCATAATAATTTATTTTAAAAAATCAAAAACTAATTTTAAAAAATCGATGAACTAAATTAAACTAATAAAATTTTAGTCAAATTAGATTGATTTTAAGAAAAAATCGATTCAGATTTAGATTTTAAAAATTTATAATATTATTCATAATTAACGTTTATATTGTTATATCAATTTTTTAAAATTTTGAAATATTTTAAATATTTTATTATTTACATTTTAATTTTAATGCCTTTTGTTTTGAAATAAATAAATTATTTATGTATTTATTGAACATATAAATTATTTATTTATTTAATTTAACATGTTAAACAATTTATATGTTTATTTATTTATTTGACATGTTAAACAATTTAAATGTTTATTTATTTAACAATATTTATTTAACATTAAAAAGTAATTTTATTTTATTATATAAAAATTGCTTTTCCCTGTAAATTAAATACTTTTTAAAAACTAGAAAGTATAATATATTCCAAAAAACAGTTAGATGAAAGTAAATGAAAAAAATTTTACTTTCTGTCCGTAATTTTAAAAAACTTTAAATAAAGGAATTTTTTTTAATTTCTCTCTACCTTTTCTTTTCTTCTTTTATGATATTAAGAATATAAAAATAACTCAAGAAAAAATTTTCGACCAATAATTAAATTATAAAAATAAAATTCAATAAAAAATCTTATGGTCTACTTTTTTTAATTGATCAATTAAATTATAAAGTTTATAAATTTAAATCATAAACAAAATATGAATTATATATTAGAAATTTGAAAAACTAGAATTTTAATTTTAAATGCCATGTTCAATATAACATATTTAATATAATAATGATAGATTCAATTTAATATTCATATAATAATGATAGATTCAATTTAAAATTCAATCTAATATTGATAGAATATAATAATTAAGAATAAAATAATATAATTCTATTTAAAATTAAAAAAGAAATTATTTTATTTTAATTGTTTAATTCTATTTGATTATATTTTAATCATATTAAAAATGATATTTTAAATGAAATAGAAAAGAAAAGATATCCAGACCAGAAGAAGCATCTCCAGCAATGTCAATAATAACCTTAGGCTGCCACTTAATCTCTGCAAATTTAGGCATGGTAATCCTCAAAACTCCATCCTCCACATGAGCCTTGATATGATCCAAATAGCTGCATTACCAGGCAAGCTGAATTGCCTGAAAAACTTCCCATATTAGTTCTCTCGGCCCTATGCCATTTGTCTCCCCCAACTTCTTCCTCATCTTTCCTTTCCCCACTGATCCTCAGCACCCTGTTATCCTCCAACTCGATCTTCACATCATCTTTCTTCATCCCTGGAATGTCTAGGGATATGACATGTGCCTGTGGGGTTTCCTTCCAGTCTGCTCGAGCCAAGGCCCCTTTAGGGACTGTTAGTGGGGTGTGTTCAGGGATTCTGAAAGGGTCTTCAGGGAGCATCATGTCCCATAGGGACCACATCAGACCATTCACTTGGCTTGCCATAGCACCTACTGCCATTCTATGGTGATCGCTTTGCATGTGTCATCTTTTAAAAAAAATAAAATTTGTTTTATAAATTTTCAATTAAATTAGACCTTGACACATTCATTAAATGGGTGAAAAGGAAAAAAAAAATACTTTGAAATAAAAGGTTATCTTATGAATAGAAGTAGCTTAATGAGTTGAGTAAATAATTTTTTTAAATACATGTAAAATAAAAAAATAAAAAAAAATAAATTGATGACAATTCTTTAAAATTATTTTATTTTAATTTTTAAGTAATTTCTTCGACTGAATTAATGTCACTTAACTCGTACACTAATTCAATCATATTACGAGTTTTATGAATAGTATAGATAATAAGATAAATAATAATATTTATTCAAAAAATTAATTATAATAAAAATAAATAAAGATAATTATTTTAAAATAGTATTTTAAATAAATACTAGTATAAAAACCGCA